CCCTATATAAACCCTATAGAACCCTTCAAAGGAACCCTGCTTATAACCCCACTTATAACTACCAATGAACCTCCAAGTTTCTTGTGGTTTTCGGTGACCAGGCTCCCTCTGTGCCAAGAGGAAGTGTTTCGGGTTTATGGATTTCGCGACTCTTCCGAATTCCACTACAGTTCTGTACTCCTCTGAATCCGTTCGGGGTTGAGGCTTTGTGGCTTTGTGGCTTTTCTGAAAGTCTTTAGGGTCTAGGGCTTTTGGGTTCCTGGTACTTTGCTCCTTTCTGGCACTTTTCTTCTAGATCTGGCACATGTGTCATTTATATCCGATAAACTGCTCTTGCATGTCGGTCAGCTGTCTCACGCCTTCGCATGAAATCCACAATGCCCACTTGAGTCTAATGTCTTGCTTTGCGTCCGGTTTGGGGTCTACTCGGAGGTGCATGGGTAGTTATAAGTGGGGTTATAAGTAAGGCAACTATAGCTATAACCCAAACTAGGGGACTTATACCCCCATTTATAACTACCCATGAACCTCCAAGTAGGGTCTCTCCTGCAGTTTCGAGTCTTGTCGACATGTCGCTCACTTAGAACCGGAGCCGCCACCATCTCTGAACCCTTAAAGGGTTTAGGGTTTAGGGTTTAGAGTCTCAATCCATGATGGTTCAACAAACCCAAAGCCCCAAAACTCCAAACCGTAAAACCCATAAAAAGAAACTTGCACTTCCCCCCAAACTCTACTATACCCGCACCCCCCCCCGCCCCCCGACCATGAAGGAGCTCCAAGAAAAGAACGAGTTCGGCGAGCCCATCGGCGGATTGGATCCAGATGTGGCTGATGCGTTCTTCTCCAGCGTCGGAGCTGCAAGCACATTATTTAAATGTAGCCCTAAGCCCCAGGTACCTACTATATAGGGTACTCGAGCCCCTCAGGCCCTATATAGTAGGTACCTGGGGGGTTAGGGTAGGGTAAGTTTAGGGTTTACGGGCTGCAAACACAGTAAGGCCCATGGTCTAGGAGTCTCTGCTTCGAGGAGGCTTACCTAGTACTGTAGCAGTGTAGGTAACCTTTAAAACCTACTTGGTTAGTAATATAATCTGTGAACAATCCCAAAGGGTGAAGCTGTCATTACCCTCGGAGAACAATCTTGTGGTGGTTATGTGAGGGGCCCAATAATTACCCAGATTATTTTGGGGGTTCCTTATTATAATTATAGTATAAGGGCCCCAAAACCCTATTCAAATTATTAATGCCCCTACATTACAGCCCTAAACCCTAAACCCCTACATTACCCTTATTCCTTGAACCTACAAGACTGCCGAAAGCCCGAGAGGCCTACTGGGTTTAGGTCTCAGACCCTGCTTAAACTTTAAGCCATTAGGGTTTGGGGTTTAGGGTTTAGGGCAGCGAGGAGCCCCCTGTAAGTAGAAGGGCAAGAAGGATTTTTGTTTCGCTGGTTACGGGGTGTTACAGGTA